ATGTGAGAGAGAATTTGTGACAATGGTGAAAGATTGTACCTGTGACACCAAATAAATAGGGATTAGAAACTGAATTCACTCGAATTTGGTTATGAGAAATCACTGAAAATATGAATTACAGTCAAATTGTGAGTTGAAAATTGAAGAGAAAGAAAAGCAAGAACCCAATTTACCTTGGTTTCGTAAGAGAGCTTTCATGCTTATGGAGTAGAGAACGAAACTAAGGATGGTACAAATGAATTTGGGACAAACAATTGCATTTCAATCAACTGAGATATAGAATCAACAATTGTAAGGCTGAAAACTGTAAGGTGGTGGGAGGTATCACCTTCTCTGAAACTACTCTTGAATCTGCGAGGTACGTTGCGGAGGTACCTCATCTGACTTGTCCCAGTCGTCTTCCTTTGGATCGCCTTCACACTCCGGTGATCTAAAAATATGACCAAATCAGATCAATACAACCAGCCAGCATATATATATATATATAGAGAGAGAGAGAGAGAGAGAAAGAAATAGAAAGGGCTTACATGTCCTCTTACGGGCAACAGGGAAAGCACAAGCAGAGCATCGGTTCTTCTAGAAATGAAAGCTACGGCGACCACACCTCACACAAAGGATGTGGGTCTTGTTCCTTCTCTTACCAAAACTCCATGTTCCCTTCCCCTGTTTCCATTAATCCACTTCTATAAGCCCCTACACATATATTTGTATGTAGAGAGAGAGAGAGAGAGAGGTTACCATTGTTGCACAGCTGCAAGAAACCCTAGACCTGTGAGAGCTATTTTGGAGAAGATGATAAATATATATGGTGAACGAGGTGAATGTGTGTGAGTTGAGAGGTTTAGGATTGGCTAAGCTGAATCTTGCTAAGCGTCCAGATGGGCTTCAGCCCAGTTTCACTGAAAATAAGGTGGAGAGAAATGGAGAAATGAAGCGAGAGGGACAAAGATAAAGAGAAGAAGAGAAATAGAGAGAGGAAGAGAAAAACCTCAATGTTGAAGCGAAGCCATGCGAGCGGCAGTGGCGATGTAATGATGCGCGACAGTGGAAGATCGAGGGTGAATGACGGTGGAAGACCGACGGTGACTGAACGGCGAATCAACGATGGTGAGTCTATGAGAGAGAGAGAGAGAGCAAGAGACTGAACTTGTCTGGGTGTATATACATATTGATAGAAAAATATGAAAAAAATAAAATAAATCATAACTAATAAATTGGGCGGTAATGTGGGAGTATTCCCACCAAAAAAAAAATCTGTGTGTTTTGAAATTGTTTAACTTTATTGCCGACTAACTGTTTTTTGGTCACTAAAAATAAGTATTTGCCGACCACATTTTTGGTCGGCAAAGATCAAAAGTAAACAAAAATTCATTAATATTTGGCGACGAAAAGACTAGATTAGTCACAGAAAAGGTACCTTCGCCGACTTACCTTTTTAGTCGCCAAATCTCAATCAACGGCGACTAAAATATTAGTCGCTAAAAGTATTAATTTGGCGACTGATTTTTTTTGGTTGCTGAAAATAAGTTTTTGGCGACCAAATTTTTGGTTGCCAAAGAAAAAAAAATATTTTTTATTTTTCATTTGACGACTAAATTGTTTTAGTAGCCAAAACTCAATATACAGCAACTAAAGTATTTTTTTGTTGGGGAAAATAAGTTTTTGGCAACTAAAATTTTGGTCGCCAATTCCACAACTAACTTATTTTTGATCTTCCGCGACCAACTTATTTTTTGGTCGCAAAAATGTGACATTCCGCGACCAAATTTATAGTTGGTCGCCAAAAATATATCACTTTCTGCGACCAACTCATTTTTTGGTCTCCAAAATATGACCTTCTGCGACCAACTCATATTGGTCACCAAAAATAATGATTATTCACGACTAATAAATATTTGGTCGCCAAAAGATAAATTTTAACTACCAACTTTTATATTAATCGTGAAAAGTGATCGTTAAAAATGCAGATTCTTACAGTGAAGAAGAATAATTTTATGCATTATAAAAGTTCCACGGGTCATCACATCTGTCCTAATTGGACAATACCAATCAAGAAAGTGGAAGTTCATTGGATTAAGCCCTTTTTTTTTTTCTTTTTCTTTTTTTTTTGGTATAGTGTTCAAATATCCTTTATAGAAAATGTTTGAACTCCCATAAAGGAGGATTTCAGTATATTTATTAATGTATTAATTATTAATGTGTTTAAATTTTTTTTTTATCTTTGACAGTGACACAAATAATTCAAATCATTTTAAAAATTATAAAAATTGTATTTTGTGAAGATCTCTATTATTACTAATTCTTTATTCAAAGATTCTCTACTGTGATTAGTGTGGTGGATTTGTCTTTTATCCTTTTGGTTCTACCATTATTTTTAATTATTTATATCCCAAATTTCACTATCAAAATCGTGTACGCTTAGCATTTGTATTGGATGGTTATCTGGAATTAGTACACCCTTATCTTATTAAAAAAAAAATTGCGCATGCATTGATTGCAGGACAACTCAAACAACTTTAAATCCACAAATACGAAAAAGAATATATTGATATATGCATTTAAGCCCACAGATATGGAAAAGAACATACTGGTTTATATATATATATATATACATATATATATATATAAGCCTCTTTTAAGAAAATAGTAAAAAGTTACTTTTTTGACTTTTAATCTATTTTGGTCACATTAATTTTTTTTTTTTACATGTTTAAAAAAAAATTAAAATAAATCAAAAAATCAACTTTAACTAACTTTCTCAAACAACCCATAATCCTAACCCCCCATGGTATACAATTAGCCCACTAATACTTGTTTGATTAATTGCTTTACAGTTTCTAGACTACATTCTCATTGGAGATGAAGAGGGTTTATTAAACTAATCTTAAAGGGTCTCATTTACCTAATTAAATTTGTCATTTTCTTTGGGTGCTCTTTTTGTCATGGGTAGTCTCGATTAACTTGATAAAATAAGAAAAAGTAAATGACCTTGCTTTTGATGCTTTTACATATGAATGGATAGTCCAACTCCTTCGTGCAGTGCACCTTTAAGCACACACAAGGAAAGTCTCATTTAGATGCAATGAACCATCTTGTTCTCTATGTAACAGCTCCATTTAGTTTATGCCTTATTTTTTTTTTTCAAATAAAGGCACAAAACCCATTATTTGGCACCTCAACTTGTTTGGTTAGAATTCAAATTGTGAAGCGAGATTGGATTCTCAATTTGTTTTTTTGTTCTAAGTTGCCTCTTTACTGTATGATGGGTCTTTGATTTGATTAAAAGTTTTCCAAGTTTTTGGAATAAATTTCAATATAACTTGAATTGATTAGATTTGTTTAAAGGTTAAAAGTGACAATATAATTGAACTAAGACACCAAGAAGGGTCCTTCATGTTTGTTCACATTGTTCACCACTATAAAAAAAAAATATATAAAGATTATAAAATTATCATTTCATTTCATTGTCATGAAACCAAACACAACATTAGAAAAATCAAAATTATAAATTCTTAAATACATATCTACATGCACACAGTGATGTGTTTGTGTATTTTTATACTTTGTGATATTATAATTCAAGGGTTCAAATTAATAGGTTAGAAAACTATGCAAGTAGAGTCTTGCTAAAAATCACTGGAGTAGTGGTCTAGTGGAAAAAGCATCTCTCTTCACAGGTGTGACCCAAGTTTGAGAGGCGAATTCCGCTGCTTTGTAACTAGTTCTTTTCTGAGACTTCGCTTGTACTCCATTAGAAATCTAGATTTGTCTGTGACATGTAGTTGAATTCCGTTGATACCTCAGTAATAAATCATTTCTTTTGAATTGAATTAAATCAGATCGATAACCGATTATCCTAAAATGTGAATCCACAAATATAGAGATGATATCATTTTTTTATTAGACAAAAAAAAAAAAAAAAAAAAAAAAAAAAAAGCCTTGCTAAAATGGTGCAGTACTTTCACACCTATAAAATATTATATTACCCATTTCTACAAAGCCTCCACATCCACATCACATCATCTGTTAGCTCCTTTCAGCAAAGGTCACTTGGAGACTGATAGTGGCCAAAAGTTCATGTTTTGTTCCCAGTTTTTAATGTGCAATCAAACTTTGAATGCTAAATTATCTATAAATTATTGTAAGTACATATTGGTTGATTTGAGAGTCGAACTCAAAACGTTTAAGTTTATAATGTGTCATTGCATTCACTCTTTTTAATGTTGCATTCTCTCTTTTAATCGCTAAGCTAACTATGTGGGTTCAATAAAATTATTCTAATCTATCATTATACATAATTGGTGCTTAGCTGGTGTTTATTATGTCTAGCCCACTAATAGAGTGGGAGAGAGACCGTTGACACCAACACACTTATTGTACAAAATTTATTATTTTATTCCTTGCAATATACATATTTTCATACATTTAAATAAATCTCACTTTTATCTAACACATATTTTAACACACTATTTAACACCTCTACTATTTAACTCAATAAATTAACAAACATTTAATTAAATAAATAAAAAATGAACTTACTTGTATCACTTTTTATTAATTAACATACAAATTTAATTTTTCTACTGTGAATCCTCTAATAATTAATACTCAGTCATACAACAATTGTGAAATATATTTCTTTTTTGTGTGTTGCTAAATTATGGACTTTTCTCAATCATAATATATTAAAATTCACAACAATTGATTGTATTTAAATCTAGATTACCATGCTATTTTTTATTTTTTTTTTTTGTTCTTTCATGAGTTTTTTAAATGGGTGTCTCTAACATTTTTTTGAATAATTTTCCCTCACAACACCAGAATTGGGCCCTGGGCCCTCAAAAGGACTTATCATCAACTGGGGAGGAGAAAAGGCCCATAATTTTTTTCTTGGGTCTGGAAAATGAACTGGAAATCAGAACAACCCAATATCAGTTATATCCAAGATCCGACCCGTAAGCAGCTGAGTCAGTCCCGAGTCCACTTCATCCAAAACAGAAGAGAGACGAAAAAGCCAAACAGACCCTAAGCCAATCCACCCATAGCAACATCCATGGCTTCCACATCCATCTCCAATTTCATCTCCTTTTTCACACCACCAAAACCACCACCACCCAAAACCCCTCTTCTCCTCCCCTCTCTCTCCTCTTCTTCGTCAGAAAACAGAGCTGGGTTTGTTCCACTAGTCGCGTCCAATGAGGGCTACAATCCCTTATCATCGTCTTCTTCCAGTGATGTCCTGAACGTTTTGTACCCATCTGTAGCCTATGCCAACACGCTCTTTTTCAGATCGGCCTACAACGTTCAGGTCATTGTTGACGATAATGAAACCGAAGAGAAGCTTCTGGGTCGGTTCCGGAGAGAGGTGATGAGGGCTGGCGTCATCCAAGAATGCAAACGAAGGAAGTTCTTTGAGAACAAGCAGGACGAGAAGAAGCGCAAGTCCCGTGAGGCCGCCAAGCGCAATCGTCGAAGGTTTCAATTCTCTCTCGCTTCAATCTTATGTATTTTTTATGTGTTCCTTTTGAAATTTGATTGAAAAGCTTATTAGGTTTTTGGGTTTTTAATTTTTGGTGAGAAACTAATTTTACTGGTACAACAACTTAATTTGGTTCAAAGATTTGAATATCTATAATCTAGAGTTAATATCACCTTACCTCTCAATTTCAATTTCAACATCAAAATTGTTCATTACTCTTCAGTTATCAACAATCATATCAAATATACCTCTTTTTAAAAGGGTGAAAGTGATGCAATTTTATGGTTAAGGGGTCCCTAAGATTTTGAATGCATGGAGCCTAACGGGGAGATTAGATTTCCTATTCCATGGAATGGTGGAATTTGCTAACATGTTCTTAGTTTGAAGGCAGAAATATTTGTAATTCAAACGTTTCGGGTGTGGGTTGGAATGGATGTGTATAATATTTGATTTGGATCCTAATGGGGGGGATGAGGTTTCCATGGAATGGTGGAATATGCAAACATTTTCTTAGTTGCTGGGCAGAAATATTTGTAATTCAAACTTTGAGATTTGGGTTGGACTGTGAATATGTTTAATATTTGATTTGATTTATGGAGCCTAATGGGGAGAATAGATTTTCATGGAATGGTGGAATATGCAAACATGTTCTTAGTTTCTAGGCGTAGAAGTATTTGTGATTCAAACACTTGAGATGTGGATTGGAATGTGAATATGTATATAGCCTTTGATGTATGGAGCCTAATGGGAAGATGAGATTTCCATGGAATGGTGGAATATGCAAACATTTCCTTAGTTTCTACGGAGAAATATTTGTAATTCAAACATTTGGGATGTGGGTTGGAATGTCAATATGTGTGTTATCTTTGATGTGATGCATGGACCCTAATGGAGAGGTTAGATTTCCATGAAATGGTGGAATATGAAAACACGTCCTTAGTTTCTCTGCAGAAATATTTGTAATTCAGGTCTCTCAGTTTTGCATCATTTATAATGAATTAAAGACAGATTTTATAGGTTTTGCATAATTCCTTAGGTTGGTGGAATGTGCATGTTTTATCCTTTTACTTCCCCAGTTGGGATATGATGCCTTCTTGCACTCATATCATATCGTATTATGTGTGTGTTTGTTTGTTTTGGGTAATCATATAGCTCCTCAGTCCTTGGCTACAAAATTTTCTTCTTCAGTTTCTTAAATAGCTAATCCCCAATACAGTTTTTTTTTTTTTTTTTTTTTTGGGGGGGGGGGGGGGGGGGGGGGGGGGGTGAGGTATGTTTTCTGGATTTTTTTTACTGATCAGTGTATGCTTTATTCTCAGACGCCCCCAGGCTAGAGGTTCATTTCAGGACAAGGAGGAAGCCTCCAAGAGCAAGAAGGAAGGAGAGAGTGATGAAGACAATTGGGAGCTTCCTGAAGGAAACCTTCCCTATTGACATCGTTTTGTTCTACTTTTCCTTAGGAATCTGCTCTTTTGCTCGTGAGAGGCATTTCAGTCCATGTAGGTTTCCAGGATAATGTGTTTACCAACCTTTTGTGCACTTTGTTTTTGGCTAATTTAATGATAAAAGTATCATTTTTCATTGACTATCACATGTTTTGGATTTATCAACTAGATGGAAAATTGAAAATTATTTAATTTTACAAGGAACAGTTGTGGAAGTTTTAGATGGAGAGCTAGTCTGTCTTGTATGTTGGATTAAAATGGTCACAATAAGATGGATGAGTGACGAAGGATTATGTTTCTTCTTGACCTAATACTAATTCCTAAAAGTGGGTTGGAAGGTAATAGAACATATATAAAAGAAGAAACTGGGAGAGGTGTTATTGAAAACCCTATGGTTTCAAAAGTCTACAACATGAAAGGGTATTATAATTTTGCCTTTTGTTGTCAATAAATATTTCAAAAAAATGACAGGATTGTATGTCTTGAGCACTACCTTTCAGGAAACATGCTAGACATACACCTTGTGTTTATGAATTTTTCCTAGTCTCTGAGAGTTTGACCCTTGCTTACCAATCAAAGCCATTTCTTTTGCCAGGAAACACTTCTTGCCCTGATTTTCTTCAGTCAGGAAATGTATGATTCTACCCATCTTCCTTCACATTGTTTTACACAACACCAATTAATTTATGCTTTGAAGTAAACCTCAGTTGCACGAAGAGGGGGGCAGGGGAGTGAGGTTATATAGGAGTTTCCAAGATTGCGAACACTTGTGGGAGCATGTATATATTTTATATAAATATAACCAAACCAAACCAAACCAAGCCTTAAGTCCCATCAAATGGGGTCCGCTATTTACTTAGTTGTGAAATATAAATAAATATTTGAGATTGATGTCAATTACAAATTGTCTTTGTTAGGTATAAATAAATATTATGTACAAAGAAAGTACTATAGTAAGTATAAGCTTAAGTTGTTTTTCTTTTGTTTCTAACTCAGTTGGGAACGAGTTTCTTTCTCGGCAGGTGCTAGTTTCTTACAATTCTTACTTGGGAATGCAGAAACATGGTTCTCAGTAAGACACATAACCTTGATCCAAAAAAAAAAAAAAAAAAAAACAAAGAAAAAAAAACAAAGATTCATCACCCAGGTAGAAGTTTCCTACTACTAAGAGCAAAACCTTTGGGAAAATTGTTGGTCTCCTAACCAAGTTTGAGTCGACACTTGTATTTCTTGAAACTTTCTATGAAGAAGCTGCAGAATTAGCTATTTTCAAGCCTTGTTTTTTTTCCCCTGATGAGGGTAAGGTGGAGTTTCTCCAGACATCAAGAATGTCCTTGAGGTGATGAACTTTTCTGTCAATACTGTCATAGCATTTGGCATGCATGGTGCATAGCTTGCTCATATCCTTGTTTGACTGACAAAAGCTACCAAAATAATCTGTGTCCAAATATATGATTCGCAATCCCAGCATTTTGCCAATCATATCATCTTTGATAGTTTCGAAGATGAGTTGATCACTGGAGTTAGGATGCAAAACCCTTTTTGTCTTCCAGTATTTAAAGAACTCTACAGTTATTGCATTAGATTTCAGGTAGAAGAATCCTCCATCAGCCCTGTTGGTTTTGCTTTGCTGATTATCTGCACAGGGATCAGAGGCAGTAATGATTTCAGCGCCACTGTGAAAGTGTGGGAATGGATTCCTGAACCACATCACATCTGCATCCTGCAGCCAAAATTTGACATGGATTAAATTTCAGGTAGTTCTATTTGCACACCACATATTATCACAAGATATACCATTTTCTGATTTTCTTTTGAGGTACGATTGTGTCCTTCAACGGAATTACCCTTTTGGACAAAACCGTAAGATCAAATCTCTCAGTACACATCACCATCATCCACAGCCACCACAGCAAACCTTCTCCCGCTTTAGCTCCCAACCCGTCTGCTAGCCCCATCACCCCTTCCCAAAACACTAGATCTAGAAGAAGAAGAAAATTGCCCAGTCCTGATGCCCCCTGTTGCCCCTCCCCTAAACCCTAGATCTAGAAGGAGGAGGAGGGGAGGGGGTGGCAGAGGAGCTGCCACAACTTGAAACCTTAGAAGAAGAAGAAGGAGGAGGTGAGGGGGCGACTAGCGACGGGAGAGAGGGGGGGTGGTGGAGGGGAGCCAGTTGGGGAGAGAGGGCCTAGAAATAGAGGGGGGGGGGGGAATCAAATGAATGTGGTGTGAACGCGAGTAAATGATGTATACTAAGAGAATGTGTAGTGTTGCAAATAGAACTACCCTTAAAATTCAGTATGTTTGAATATTTACACTGTCAGCGAAAACCCATACCGTGAAAAGGACATTGTAACCCAACTCAAGGACTTCTCCCAAAAGTTCAATCTTTCTCCAACCGAGTTTGAGGTGATGCAGATTTTCAAATGGCTTCCAAGTTGCATAGTTGATTCTGTAGGTAGCGAGGTTCAAGCAATGGCGATGCACGGACCTGCAATATTGAAATGCCGAGCCATCCATGGTGAAAATTATCAGGTGATTCAACAAGGTTTTGGTCCCCAGGCCAACTCGGAAGCCCTCTAGAAAGAGATCAAAGACAGAGCTTGGATGCGCCCATTTTTGGTTAACAATGGCGATTATAACCGTTCTATCAGGCATGATTGCTCTCTTCAACACTTTCTGCAACTTTCTCCCTTCTGAATTCTAACCCCCAAAAAATTAAAGTTTAGAATTTAAAAAAAAGTACAGAACAGTAAAAAGCAATGAAGATTGATTGCTTACAGATGGATCTCTGCGAAGCTGCGATCTGCCATTTACTCGAGCTAGGTTTGAGAAACAGTAAAAGATCAATGAAGCAGAGAACAGAATAGAAAAGAATAACAGAAGACGCAGCACTTGCAGGGGCTTCATCTTATTCATTATGCGTAGAGGAATATAGGTAAATTTCTCAAGTTAAATTTGCAAAAATACATACACAAGTATATATATATAGTTATTTATGAATTGAAGATGCAAAATGGTAAGTTCTTTATCTTCTTACCAAAAAAACACAGTGCATAGCTGTTAGCATTTACTGGCAATATATTTTCGGATTTGGTCAGATTTTGGATTCTTTTGCAGATCTGAAATTAAATTCTGGAAAGTAGAGCCATCTAGAATGCGGGTCTAGCAATTAAGTTTATGAAAAAAATTAGAATTGATATGATAGTTGTAACTTGAAATAAAATGATTTTATCATGTTTTAAAAAACTAATTACACCTCCATGCGGTTTGCAGTTGTATTTATTTAATTTTTTTTTTTTGGGGGAGATAAATGTGGTGCATATTCTCAAAATAGTGTGTATTATATGTAATTCTCAAAATAGTGTGTATTATATGTAATTTATAAAAAGTTTTTTTTAATGATAAATTTCATTTGAAGGTGTTCTAATTCAATAATTCTACCAAGAAAAATTATAACTTAGTTAGTCCCATATATTTATATTTTTATTTTTATTTCATGAGGTCTTTTTTTCCTAATTTATATTGTTTGTTGGACTATTATACTCTCATATTTATTGTTGATATGTATTACATAGAAAAATGATATACACATTTTATTTTGTTGCTATCTCTATTTTGGTAGTTACCATTATTCACGTTTTTCTTTTTGATCAGTTTCATTCACATTTGCGGTATTGCTTTATTGTGCTAGGGTTTGAAACTCTCTATTTGGTAGGGTTTAGAAACTCTAGTTTACACATGGTGATGAAATAATATTATTTTCTTCCATTGTTACGGTGAAACTTTGTGTTCTTCCATTGTCACTTTGTGTTTGAAGTTCTGTGTTCGTCCATTGTTGCTCCGTATTCGAAATTATATATTTCTTCATTATTGTAAGTCAAAGCCTTATTTATGTCCAGTCAATTTTGTTATAAGCATATTCTTCAAAGGTGGGTTTGGTTTGATTTGGATTGGATTGGTGGAATTGTGAAATTGCATAGATTGTTAATGATAGTGATAATGATAAAGATGATGGTGAAGATGAGGATGTGAGTGATATTATTAAGTTTTTTTTTTTTTTTTTTTTTTTTTTTTTGATTTCTAATTCTATTACTGCCATTGTTTCTATTTTTTTGTCAATCAATGTAAATGCTCATATTTCACATTGTTTGAAAGTTTGAGAAATAAGTGTTGGAATATAGATATGGACATAATTATATATTTTGCGAGATGTGAATGTTCACATATTATTGGTTATTTGTTAATATACTTGTTATTTGAACAATCATTTTTTGTTATGATTAAACAATTGAAATAATCATTTTTGTTCTTTCAATTTTGTTTCATGTTGCAGTGTGAATGTTCACATTGATATGAATTTAGTTTTTCTAATGTTAGTTGTATATTAATTGTAGATTGTGAACATTCATATTATATTTTGGTATAAGTTTTTTTTTGAAATTTTTTTCGAAAGTTAGTTGTATTTTGTTATTTTTTTTACTATGCTTGTTGGTTGAACAATCATTTTGTTACCATTGAACAGTCAAAATAGTTGATTTTTACTTTTTTCAATTTTATTTTATATTTTTATGTTATAGTGTGAATGTTCACATTGGTATGAGTTTATTTTTTTAAAAAACACTAGTTATATATTAATTGTAAATTGTGAAAATTTACATTGTATTTTGGTATAAGTTTTTCTTTTTCGAAAGTTAATTGTGTGTTTGTTGTTTTTGTTAGTATGCTTGTTAGTTGAGCAATCATTTTTGTTATCATTGAACAATTGAAATAGTCGATTTTTATTTTTTATTTTATGTTTTCACGTTGTAGTGTAAATATTTACATTGGTATGAGTTATTTTTTTTTAAGGATAGTTGTATGTTAATTATAAATTGTGAACCTTCATATTGTATTTTGGTATGAATTTTATTTTTTTGAATGTTAGTTATATATTTATTGTTTATTGTTAACATTCACATTGTATTTTAGTATGTGTTTTTTTTTTTTCAAAAATTAGTTGTATGTTTGTTGTATACTGTGAACATTCATATTGTATTTTAATTTTCATTTAGATTTTTTGTTATGTTATTTTTAAAATTTTTAAATTATAAAAGGATTCAAAATTCATAATTTGAGATTTTCTCTATGGAATGTAGGAGATATTTTCTTCTTAGAATAAGGGAAATATTTATTTTTTAGAATGTGAGAGAGAGAGAGAGAGAGATTTTCTCCATACAATGGGAGACTATTGTTATGTATTAGTTTCATAATATAAACATGTGCAAAAAATTCGAAAGGATGATTTAGTCATATTACATTAAACAAGACTTAATGGAATACTCAAAAAGAATATGAGTTAGATGAAATAAAAATTCTTAAAAGAAGATTTATCACAAAATAACTTTTATAAAAATTATAATCAAAGAGTTTTTGAATTATTGGAAAATTTTATACCCAATGCAAAAGAGGTCTAAGAGTCAAGGACACGAAGTTCATGGCCCAAGAAAGAAAATCAAGGATGTGGCACATGACAGTTTCAGGAAATAAGAAAGTTCAAGACAATTACAGATCATGAAAAGATAAAAGAAGCCAACAAATGGACACGTGGCAACATGACATGACTAGTGAAGCTATATAATGGTTGAAAATTCAAAGAGGAGAGGACCTTCAACCAAATTCACAACTCATGTAAAATCTAGTAAGTGTAACTTATCTAGGAATAGTTCTTGTACTCAGGAGTAGTTTATCTATAATTCAGCATTTGTAACCTAGTTTGGCCCTATCGATTGTGATATTATTTAAACTTGTAATTTGATTCTTATAATTAAGCGACAAGTTTAAATATTATTTTATACTTGTTTCTTAACATTATAACCTCCAAAGAAGTTACTAAATTTGTCAAAGCATAAGATACCAAAACTACAATGCTTGATTAAGTTGTTGTTTGTGAAAATTAATTTTTTCCCGTCGACTTTTCCCTATTGATTTGATCCAAACTAAATTTTTGCTAGCACTGTCAATTACGTAGAACAAGATTTTCTAAACTCTTCCAAAATTAATAAAAAGTAATTAATTATGTGCATGTGTAGCAATTTCATCCATATAACATTCAATTGTTGATTAAAAAATGCTAATCATGCCAATCCTTTCATATGATTGAACACGAAAAACATGTGGAACCCTACTGCTGACATTGATGCGTTCTGATTATATCCACAATAATAATAAAATTAAAAAAAATATTTAGATAAAACGGCTCATCAAATAACTGAAGGGCCATTGAATTGGCACCGTTGATCTGAATGATCTCTTGCAGCCACAATTATACACGTGGCCTTCAGACAATTGACGTGACAGGTGGAATTGCAATTTGACATCACAAAATTTAGAATATTTTACAAATCCCTTTCTCTTTTACTTTACACAAATCTCTTTACAAATGTATAAAATTTGAACATAATAACATTAAAAGAAGTACAAAAAGTGAGATTACAAATGATATTTGAGAGTCTGATAAAAAAAAAAAAAAAAAAATGATATTTGAGAGGAAATTCATGTTACAATAATTACCCTTTCACATAAAGAGATAAGATCATTTATTGCCAAACATCCAAACATAATGTGACCTCATTTAAATGAACCCCCAAATTATTTTTTCTCCTTTCATTTTTGTTTGAGGATTACCACTCTCCAGATAGCCAATGGCACTTTCGTACCAAACAAAAACAAGCATTTATGTGTAATATATACTATATATTAACCAAAAGAAGACAAGCACGGAAATATAGACCGCATGAATTCAGCTCTCTATAATTCTGAGTTCAAGCGTCTCTTACTCTTGCTACTTCAAGTGTCTTAATGGAGGAAGATTTGAATCAATCAGCAAAAGAAACCACCACCTACAACATGGAAGCTCAAGAAAATGAAGTGGAAAATGACCCAGAAAGCAATTCCCTGCACCAGCCACTCATAAAGAGAAAGCAAACGCTTTCCTCCACTCCACTAGCCATGGTTGGAGCCAAGGTCTCTCATATTGAGAGCTTGGACTATGAGTAAAAACATCTTACTCTGTTTTTGGATTCTAATGTTCCTTTTTCTTCTTCACATTCTTCTTTATGCAGCAAATTCTTTTTATACAGGATCAATGAGAATGATCTCTTCAAGCATGACTGGAGAAGCAGATCAAAAGTCCAAGTATTGCAGTATATTTTCTTAAAATGGACGCTGGCTTTCCTTGTTGGGCTTCTAACTGGCATAATTGCCACGTTCATCAATCTTGCAGTTGAGAATATTGCAGGGTACAAGCTTCTCTCCGTGGTTCGCTACATAGAAGAAGAAAGGTATTGTTATATCCTTGCACTAAATTAATAAACTCATTTTTAAATATTTTCAGCTAACAGATAATTCTCAAATATCCTTCACCCCCCAAAAAGAAAAGGTTTACCTTTGCTAGAGCTGGGAATTGAGAAATGCTTTGGCAATCATCTTGGTGTATGCAGGTACCTGATGGGATTTATATTTTTTACTGGTGTTAATTTTATTCTGACCATGGTTGCTGCTGTTCTGTGTGTGTGTTTCGCACCCACTGCAGCTGGACCTGGTATCCCAGAAATCAAAGCTTATCTCAATGGGGTAGACACTCCCAACATGTTCGGTGCTACAACATTGATTGTCAAGGTGAGTGACATTCTACAATCACTTGGAGGGCACTATGAATACTTGTTTCTTACTTGGGATCAAATTATAAACTAGCTTTTGGGCTGAACTGTCCAGTCCAATTCTGAAGATAAAACTTACTCATGTACCAAAGTTGTAGCATAATTTCTTAGTGAGCTTTTTTAGATCTGGAAAGGGGTCAACGATCTTAGATCTAATGAGATGTACACTTTATGACTTTCTTATATTTGTTCTTGCTTGTAAGTAAACACAATCTTATTATTTTTTTGAGCAATTTCAATTGGAAAATGACCGTTTAATGTAATTTTCTATAACTATTACTGGTTTAACAAGAAACATGCAATGGCGTACCCTGAAGTATATTTGCAACTAGCTTCTAGAACAGTTATTTTCTAACTTTGGAGGAGAAAAAATGAAAAACATCTCACAATTTTAAATATACTATACAGATAGATATCTGACACGAGTCCATATTAGGAAATCTTTCAGGAAAGAATTTAGTGGTTGTATAAACTAACCAAACTAATGAAGTTTCTGCAGAATCAAATCAACATTTGAATATGACAAGGGTTTTACTTCATACCTGTCTATCAGCCAGAACTCTTGAAATTTCTTCATTGTTACAGATCATAGGAAGTATTGGAGCTGTTTCTGCAGGCTTAGATTTAGGTAAAGAAGGGCCATTGGTGCACATTGGCAGTTGCATAGCTTCCTTACTAGGCCAAGGGGGGCCTGACAATTACCGTATCAAATGGTGCTGGCTCCGTTACTTCAATAATGATCGGGACCGCAGAGATCTAATCACCTGCGGTGCCTCATCAGGTGTATGTGCAGCTTTCAAGGCCCCAGTTGGTGGTGTCCTGTTTGCCCTTGAAGAGGTGGCAACATGGTGGAGAAGTGCCCTCCTCTGGAGAACTTTCTTCAGCACAGCAGTTGTGGTGGTGGTCCTCAGGGCTTCCATGGAATTCTGCAATTCCGGAAATTGTGGACTATTTGGGCAGGGAGGGCTAATCATGTTTGATGTGAGTGGTGTTACCGTGAGATACAATGTCATGGACATCATCCCTGTCACTGTTATTGGAGTCATTGGCGGAGTTTTGGGAAGCCTATACAACTATCTTCTCCACAAGGTCCTCAGACTCTACAATCTCATAAATGAGTAAGCAACCTCATCCGTGTTCATATCCTTTTCAACCCCAGATCCAATTGATCAAGTTTCCTCCAACTTGATATCATCAATTATCCAAATTTCAAAATCAACCTCAAACAAATATTCTGTTTACCAATCAAAACTCATCCGCTGTCCAAAAAACACAACAGTGACCCCCTTCTGACTATTTAGGCTAACGACCTGGATTATTAACCATCAATATAATATTTTGTTGCAGGAAAGGAAAAATATATAAGCTCCTCCTAAGTCTCACTGTCTCATTGTTCACCTCAGCCTGCCTATATGGACTCCCTTTCCTTGCCAGTTGCACACCCTGCGATTCCTCCAATCCGGAATATGCATGCCCCACCACTGGACGAGCAGGCAACTTCAAGCAATTTAACTGCCCAACTGGCTACTACAATGACTTAGCTACTCTCCTCCTCACTACCAACGATGATGCTGTCAGGAACATCTTCTCCACTAACACACCCAAGGAATTTCATATCTTTTCTCTCATTATCTTTTTTGCACTGTATTGCATCCTGGGACTCTTCACATTTGGCATTGCTGTCCCCTCTGGACTCTTCCTCCCCATCATCCTTATGGGCTCAGCTTATGGCCGCATACTTGGTATTGCCATGGAATCCTACACAAACATTGACCAGGGGCTTTATTCTGTTCTCGGTGCAGCCTCCCTCATGGCTGGTTCAATGAGGATGACTGTTTCCCTTTGTGTTATATTTCTTGAACTCACCAACAATTTGCTCTTATTGCCCATAACAATGCTTGTTCTTCTAATTGCCAAAACTGTTGGAGACTGCTTCAACCCAAGTATTTATGAGATTATTCTAGACCTGAAAGGTCTTCCTTTCTTGGATGCACATCCTGAGCCATGGATGAGAAATATAACCGTTGGTGATCTTGCTGATGCAAAGCCACCAGTAGTTACCCTAAACGGAATTGAAAAGGTAGGTCGCATCGTGGATCTCCTGAAAAACACTACACACAATGGGTTCCCTGTTGTAGATGAAGAGCCACCGCCAGTTGGATTCGCAATTGGGGCAACTAAACTGCATGGGATAATTCTGAGAGGTCACCTAGTTTTAGCACTCAAGAAGAAGTGGTTCCTGCAAGAAAAAAGGAGAACAGAGGAATGGGAAGTGTGCGAAAAATTTACCTCAGTTGATCTGGCTGAAAGGCAGGGCAATATTGAGGAAGTGACTGTGACAAAGGATGAAATGGACATGAATATTGATTTGCATCCTCTTGCCAACAGAACACCTTACACAGTGATGGAGAGCATGTCAGTGGCAAAAGCTCTGGTGCTCTTCAGGCAAGTAGGGCTCCGCCACTTGCTCATTGTACCGGAATATCAAGCAGCTGGGGTGAGTTTATCAAACATAATCTCAATCGCTTAACCTCAACGCATAACACATTAAAGGTTAAAATGAGGTTTATTTGATGTTTTAATTTTGAAGTCCAAAGTTTCATGACTAGCTACATTATTTCCGTGATAAACTTCTTGGCAAAAACTGTTGTATAACAGAAAAGGTAGACTTTGCACACAAAAGAACCAAGATAGTCATTTTATGAACCATAGAGTTGCTATGAAGAAAAGTTACTGACCTGATGCATAATCCATTTTGCAGGCGTCTCCAGTGGTGGGGATCTTGACCAGGCAAGACCTCAGGGCCCACAATATTTTGAGTGCCTTTCCTCATCTGGCAAAGTCCAAGGGAAGAGAAAAAGGGAACTAAATCCCTCTAAGCAAACAAAATCGCAATATTGGTTTCCTGAAACATCACATTCTTTCACTATTTTATTTTACTATTATTTTCTGTATTGATTTATTTTGAAGAGAACAAGTTATCATTATTCAGTCAATAATATACAAATTGCTTTTTCACCATTACAGCAGAGAAAAAAAGATGGCATTTTTGACAATTTCTTTCTGTTCACTAAACAAGGATTTCTTCCTCCTTTTATGCCCCCCACCCTCCCCTTCTCATGAAATGACTCTGCACTTCCATCTGACCATTGCTAACACTTCAATGCTGGTTCCATGACTAGATGCTCATGAGGATTTCTTCTTCTTTTTTCCTGATTTCTTTTTCTTCAGGCTTACCCTGGGGCCTCTTTTGAAAATGGCCAACACCTCAATGCTGCAACCATAAGCCACATCATTTTAATGGACGGTTTAGTGCATAAATAATGGATGTAATGTAGTAGTACAAACTAAGACCATTACAGAAGAACTGCTTTAAAACTACCAAGGCAGTATAATTTAAAAACTGTGAATCATGGTTATCAGAATCCTGATCCGGATCTTGCGATTTTATGATTCATTTGAGTACAATCGATCCGGATCGTGTAAAAAATTCTTTCTAGGTAGGATCTTTCGATCCTGGTAATGGGATTTTATAGGATCGTGAAATCCCGATCCGAATCCGATCCTATTCAATCCAATTTACAAGCTTTGTTTTATATTGTATGACATATTTTATTGTAAATTTTGTATTTGTTGTCTAAATACCAATTTATGTGGTCAAAATAAATAATAAAAATTAAGTAGTATTGAATCAAATAGACTAAGAAAAACAAACTAAGAAACAAACATTCAAATATTGCGGTAATTTAAGAAAATTAACTAATTGGAAAAACAAACTCATCTTTAGCGGAGTCTAAGGAGGGTAAGATGATTGCAACTTTATCCTAATTTTTTGAGAGATTATTTTTGTGACTTGAATCCGCTCCACCTGGGATGCTAACGACAAATCTTATCATTCAGTTAAGCTGCTCTTTTGAGTTCTTAATCTATTTTCATATCCAACTTTGTTAAATATTTTTTCTTCACTTCTTATGCATTATTGTAGACTGTAAAATATTTTGTTATAGAATTCTTCTTCTTCACCTTCTTTTCTGATGAAATACAAAACTTTTACCATCGAGTTTTCTATTTTTTTTTTTTTTTTGGATAAATAAATAGATTTTATTAGAAAACATTAAGACAATGCAAAGAATACAAAGATGCGACCCAAATAGGGACTAAAACAAAACTAACTAATCGAATTCTCCACAAAATCTACAAAGACCAAAACATCGGGATCAACTGTACTCGTAACCCAACTATGCAACACCATCAACAATCTACGTTCTAACCAAAAGACCGAGTGACACACATCCTTAAACACTAGCCTATTACGTTCTAACCAGGCCAACCAAAGCAAACAATGGGAAGCAAGCACCCAAACCTTCCGGCGCCTCTTCCCCACTCTAGCCCCACCCCAACTCTGTAACACCCCCAAAATAGACCCCGGTTGCACCCACACTAAGCTAAACAAAGCAACAATGTAATTCCACAATCTAGACATAGCCGGACAATGAAGAAGCAAATGATCCACCAATTCCGCATTCCTGTAACACATACAACACCTATTCACCAACACATGTCGTTGTCGAATCAAATTATCAAGAGCAAGGATACGACCCAAAGCAGTTCAAACAAAGAAAGCAACCTTGGAAGGAGAACCTGTTGCCCATATGGCTTTCGAAGGAAACACACCACCAACGCCCCCTACAAGCACCCAATAAAATGAGGATACGAAGAAAACACCTTTGGACCTCCGAACATCCCAAACCAAAGAATCCCACCTTTCCCCTCCCATTCTGCAACCAATACAAGAAGCCTAGAAAATCCACCAAGTAGTCGATCTCCCAATCCTGAACATCACATCGTAAATGGATATTCCAAACAACTGAATCCCCTTGCTTCACCCTAACCGAAGCAACTAACTTCTTGTAACATCCCCGATCCGCAAATGGCTACTAATCCGTAATTAAAGATGCTAATGAGGGGACTAAAATAAATTATGTATTTATCATGTATTTTGTATGATATTTGGCTTCTATCTGTTACTCGTAGTAATATCTGTTGTGAAATCTGCTTCGATATGATGATTGGAAGTCTTATCGATATTTGAAACTAAATTTGGTTACACTATATATTATTCAGAATTTTTAGAAAGTTATGGCAAATTTTATTAAAAATTGATTCAGTTTGGTAAATTAAGTTGCGTTTAGCAAGCCTTATGTTCTAATTAATGTATTGTGGCATCATGACTATATATATGACCCTTTAAGCTCATTCTTGAGCTCAATTCTTTTACCTCTTAGTGCCAAAATCTGAGTTCATACATTTTAGAGAGAGAAACTCTTATGTTAGAGAGAGAAAGTGTAGATTCAAAGTAGAAGTTGAAGATTTTGTTAGAATAGCTCAAATTTGGCAAGAATCTTGTGTATTTGAAGGCTTTTGGTGAGCATCTAATCCATGATTCATGAAGAATAAGAGTTTAATTGCATACCATGAGCCTAGAATGAAGATTTGAGTTGTAATTCATACATGCATGCTTAGTTTTGTTTAATTTCATCATTTTGAACAAGAAAGAAAACACTGATAGGAAAGGGAAAAACATGTATTACCAAAACCATACCAGTTCGGAGGATGATGATCTCGTTTTGGGAAGCGATGTGCAGAAGGAGCAGGATCCAAAGAAACAGCTGGAGGGACAGTAGAGCTAGAGACAAGCGAGCTCGGAAGTGCTTTGCGGCGTTGATAAACAATAAGAGGAGCAGGAGAAGCGGGAGCTGGAGATGAGGTAACTGGAGAGGTATTAGAAGTGCTAGTAAGAGGCAAAATAGAGACCTCAAGGTCAGAAACAAACTCATCAGGAGAAACATTAGGAGGAAATGGGTCAACATGAACCAATTCATCCTTAGTAATAGGAACAGGGGTGGAAGGTATAGTGTAGTAGGGTAGTTTTTCTAAAAAAAGGGCATGCCTAGACACATATAGCTTTTTGGTGGCAGGATCATAGCACCGATAACCTTTCTGATTAATGCCATACCCTAAAAAGACACATAGGACACAACGAGAACTAAGCTTAGAGCGTGCCCGTTTAAGAAGGAGCACAAAGCATGCAGAACCAAAAATACGAAGAAGAGAATAATGAGTAATACCAAAAAGACGCTCATACGGAGATAAGCCTGAGAGAAGAGGAGTAGGCATCCAATTGAGAAGATATGCAGCAGTGAGCACAGCTTCTCCCCAGAAAACAAAAGGGACAAAAGATGAGAGCAACAAAGAGCGAGCTGTATCAAGGAGATGGCGATATTTGCGCTCAGCTCGACCATTTTGTGCAGGAGTGTCAAAACACGAAGACTGATGAATAGTTCCATGAGTAGCTAAATACTCCTCAAACTCAGACAAGTAATACTCACCCCCCAAATCAGAACGAAGAATTTTAATAGTGGTAGAAAACTAACTGCGAATCATGGAGTGAAAATTAGAATATATTTTGTAAAACTCAAATTTTCGAGTCATCAAATAAACCCAAGTAAACCGACTGTAATCATCCACAAAAAGCTACATAATATTGCGAACCACCCTTGGTAACTATAGGGAAAGGACCCCAAACATCAGTATGGACCAATTGAAAAGGAGAAGATGAAATAGAACTACTTTTATTAAAAGGAAGAGCAGACATTTTAACCAGTTTACAACACGACACTCAGAAATATCACTAATGGAAAAATTGCCTAAATGTCCAGACCTAACTAACATCCTCAACCGATCACTCGACAGATGACCTAACCTAGAATGCCAAATATAAAACAAAGAAGACTTATTGTTTAAACAAAAAGAAGACAATGCAGGAGAAGACACTTCGAGCGGAACATGCAAGTTGTCCAAGATATATAGTTCTCCAACTCTACGCCCGATCCCAATTTGCCTCTTGGATACCCGGTCCTGTACAACACAATGAGAAGAAGAAAAAACAACGTCAAAACCGGAATCAGATAATTGACTAATAGAAATAAGATTGAGTGAGAGGTGAGGCACATAAAATATAGGAGAAAGAGACAAATAGAAACAGGAAATAGAACCAACAGAGTGTACAGGCATAGAAGAACCATTAGCAGTAGCAATAGTGATAGAAGAAGAAGGAGAGACACAATTACTGAGGAGAGATGCAACAGGGGTCATATGATGTGAACAACCAGAATCAAAGATCCACGAAGTATGGATATTACCTGAAGAGGATGAACCAGACAAACCGAACTGAGTGGTAGTCATAGCGGAGGCTTGGGACGAAAGATTTGGATTGGCCACCATGAAAGACTTGAACTGCTCAAACATAGACTGCATATTGGAAGATGGATCATTCTCAGAAACTGGTGCAGAAAATGTGGCAAATGAGCGAGATCCTAAAAATGTCGGCTCAGCGAATGGTGAACCAGATGAACGACCCTTGGGCTGCAAAAGTTTAGGACATGCATGTTTCCAATGGCCTTTCTGATGACAGAAGCTACACTCATCCATGGAAACTCGAGGCTAGGGCTTACCAGTAATTTGAAATAAATGAGAAGATGGGGTGGGCAAGAGCGGAGGAGTGGCAAAAACTGACTGGGAAGCAGGAGTACCATGAGCCACCTTAAACCGAGTTTCTTCCACAATAAGCTCACGGACAGCACCATCCGCAGAAGGCAAGGGAGACCGATGAAGAATAGCTCCCCGAAGTGGCTCAAAATGATCAGGAAGGGCCATAAGAAATTGAACAAGATGTTGTTTCTCCCGATACTTGATATAGCTGTCAAGTAACTGCAAATCGGACGGTTTCATCAAAGCAAGCTGATCCCAATAAGTAGTCATCTCATTGTAGAACTCCTTAATGGATTTATCTTTCTGACTAGCACTGCGAATAGACATCTCAAGTTCATACTGTTTTGCAAAGTTAGACTCAAGGTACATAGTCTTCAAATAGTCCCAAACTCGTTTAGAAGTAGAATATTTGAAAAAATTCATACCAATGGTAGTTTGAACTGAATTATGAAACCAAGTAAGAATTTGTGCATTTTCCTTATCCCATTTAGCAACATCGGCCTCAGTTTCTTGAGATTCCATAGGTCTAATAGTCATACCAATAATATAGTTCCACATGCCTTTACCTATTATAAAATTTTTCATTACATGAGACCAATAAGAATAATTGGTACCATCTAATTTAGTAGTAATAGCTTGCAATTTATCATCAGCCATGATACTATAATTAGGCAACACAGTATAGTCAAAGCAGAGCCACAATTAAGTATCCAGAGTTACTATTGCTATAATTAAATAATCAGTGAGGCCAAACTTATAATAACCATTGTGACCCAATCATCCTCAAATAGCAATCAGCGAGAGAACCAAGGCAATGCAAAGAGAGAGAGAGAGAGAGAGAGAAACTGAACCTAAACCCAAGTCTAAAGCGAAGTCGATTTCAAATACCAGGTCTGGAGCGAAGTCTAGCACAAGATCAGACTTTGCTTTGATCGTGTGAACCAGAGGAAGAGACAGATTACCAAGCAGAGTCACACAGAATCGATCGAACCAGAGGTACCAGTCGAGGGGTCGAGCTTCGAAGTGCGACGACAAGAACAGAGAACCCCCGGCGAAGGCCTTGCGAAGAGAGAGAAAGGGGCTGCGATGCTTTCTGCGAAAGGTATGCTAACATCTGTAACGTGGCTCTGATACCATGATAACAGATGAGAAAACTTGTGTGTATTGATTAATCAAAAGATGTACAAATATATAAGCGCTAATAGAATGAAACCCTAACAACCTAAAGTACTAAACTATCCTTAATGAATAATATAAACTACATAATTCACAGTACATGCATGCACGATTTTGCCATGGTTTGCCAGCATCTAAGTTGTTATCATAAATTATTTGGCACATGCATGTATAATTCATCATGTTTTAAAGTTTAAATTCATGTGTTGAAAAGGATTTCTCTCATGTATGGAGCTTTGAGCTTAATTTTCTTAAAACCATGGTGATGAAGAAGAAGAGTTTATAAAACTTATATACATGGAAGTTTCAACTCAATTTTGGCTAAATCCATGAGTTTTGAGATAAGGGTGCGTAAATAATCATATATTCATGTTTATGATTAAGTTTTCCAAGTTTTTGAACAAGCCTTGCACGAGTTTACCCTTGAAATTTGCATTTGGAAGCTCAAAACTCTGTTTTTGAAAATCTAAAATTTCGCAGTCCGCTCGAGCGAGGAAACCTGCGCTCGAGCAGAGAATGCGAGCTCTCAGCATTTTGCAGACATGAGCGCTCTGCTCGAGCGACCAAAGTCACGCTCGAGCGAACCCTTTGTATTTTGTTGAATTGTTGATCCGCTCGAGCGTGGGAGTTGTGGCTCAAGCGTAGATTGAGACCAACTAGTACTCTTTCAAACAGGCCGGTCCGCTCGAGCGACCAATGTTGCGCTCGAGCGACCAGGCCATTTTTAGTGCATTTTGACAAGTTGTTCTGCATTTCATTTCCATCCATTTCTGAGCATATGTAGACATGAATTATGAGTTATTGAAGAGTCATGAGCTAAGAATAGATGTATGTAAAGTGAATTAGAAAATATGTGTCGAATCCGAGTATATGGGCAATATGAACAAGTTATGTGGTATGGAATGAATAAGAGGTTAAAGTAAGAGAGCTAAGCCATAACGGCTATGTGAACACATGTAATGATAAGATATGTTTGTGTTATGCACTTTGTGTTTGTAGGTCAACGTCCGGCGTTCAATTGACCGTTTACAGGAACCCACTGTGAGTAATGTTATTATAAAGATATGTTCATATGAATTATGTTTCAAATGTGATTTGATAAGTTATGATTTCTGAAATGATATTTGTTTACGTGAACGAATGTCCTATGTTTGAAATCTATTATGGCATCATAGATAGTCCCAAGTCATGGGGACGGCATGTTAATGCGGTTCCATGACATATATGTGATTACGAGATCTCGTTAGCCACTTCATTGTGGAGATATGTGTTTAATCGGTATTCGGAACCGATTACTCTAGTCGAAAGACGATATGTGATGTGTTCTATGAGATGTACCATTATTATGTTCAGATATGAGAATGATTATGTTATGATCTGTTTTAGATTATGATATGTTCAGAATTCGTTCACTAATCGCTTTACCTTAATGTTATTCACTTGGCTTTAACTCACTGTTTGTATATATATGTATAGATGGGCATTCCGAAAGTCGAGCCTGAAGGCTTTTGTTGGATCCGTGTTCTGTTGTCAGCCAACTATTGTGCCTCTCGTGGAGATTCCTGAAGTGTCACGTATTATGAGTTCTGATTATTTATGTATATCAGACTTTCTTTGTTTTTGTTGGTTGTACTTAAGATGCTACTTTGTGTGTGGGTATAATGTAAAAATGACTTTTGGTTATGCGTATAAAGTTGTAATTATTCTATTTCATAAGTCAGCACAGCTCATTGGACAACTATATTTATGTATATGCTTTCGCTAGCCCCTTAATTTTGTTAATTAGTTCAGGGGTCTTCAGTAATCCAAAGATTACTGGTCGGTTACAATGCTAAACTTATAGGGGCTGGCTTGGGTCGTGACACTCCTCATCAGCAGCAATAGCAAAAATGAGAGGGAACATGACCACCAAAGACATGCACCACAACACCGATCTCGCCAAAAGAGAACTCAATCTCCAATCCCCACTTAGAATCGAACCCTTTCTCAAAACACCTCCCTCCATAACCAAATCCCCTTCCACAAACCACGACCATGAGATTGAACCACTCTTCGAACACCAACCCCCTTGGGCCTCCCCATACTTAGCCGCCACCACCCTCCTCCATAACCTCTCCTGTTCCCCCACAAAGCACCACAACCACTTGCCCAATAAAGCCCGATTAAAAGCCACCAATTTCCACACCCAATCCCCCACTCTTTCAAATTACAAACCAGCTCCCAAGCCACCAAATGATAATGAAAACCCTCCTCAGCCCCACTCCACAAAAAATCCCATTGCAATTTCTCCAACCTCTTAGCCACCCCCACAGGGATCACATGCATAGACATAAAGTACGTCGGAATACTGGAAAGAACACTCTTGATCAAAGTAATCCGCTCTCATTTTGACAAGTATTGGCACTTCCTCCCCACCAGCCGTCACTGAACTCGATCCATCACCTCATCCCACACTTTAGTCTCCTTACAAGAAGCCCCCAAAGGAAGTCCCAAAAAAGAAACTAGCAACCGGGCCACTTTACAACCCAAGACGGCTGCCAACACCGGTAAACGAGCCACCACACCCACAGGTATTAATTTCAATTTTGAAAAATTAACCCGCAACCCTCACACCGCCTCGAAACATAACAGAACACAATGCAAATGGCCAATCTGAGTAACATTCACATCGTAAAAAATCAACGCATCATCGGCATAGAATAGGTGAGAAACCAACAAAGAAGCAGGCATCTCCCCCACCACAAAGCCTGATAATAAGCCCCCTTGGACCGCCCTAGACAACAAACAACTCAACGCTACCATAACCAAGATAAACAGTAATGGGGGGACAAGGGGTCTCCTTGCCGTAAGCCTCTCCAAGCGGGAAAGAAACCTGCCGGTGTCCCATTAACTAGAACAAACATCCAAACAGTGGAAATACAAAAATGTATCCACCACCGCCACCGTGCCCCAAAACCCAACCTCTCAAACATGTACATCAAAAACTCCCAATTTACATTGTCACAAGCCTTCTCAATATCCAGCTTACAAATAATGCCCCCTTTCCCTTGCTGAAGCTGTGAGTCCACACACTCATTTGCCACTAAAACAGCATCCAAAATTTGTCGCCCACCGACAAAAGCATTCTGCGATTCTGAGACAACCCCCTCAAACACCCCGCAAAGCCTGTTAGCCAACACCTTGGCCAATACCAAAAGACTTATAGGCCGAATGTCACGAATATCCTCTCCCCCCCCTTTCTCGGGAATCAAAGCGATGAAAGTGGCATTCAGACTCCTCTCAAATTGCCTAGATTGATGAAACTATGCAAACATATCCAATACCTCCCCTTTAACCACTCCCCAGCACTGCTAAAAGAAAGCAATTGAGAAACCATATGAGCCTGGCGCCTTATCCCCTCAACGCTCCCAAGATCTCCTCCTCAGTGAAAGGTCTCTCTAACAAGATCCCATCATCCTCAGAAATAGAATCAAAAGCTACATCATCCAACCCTGGTCTCCAAATCTGGCCCTCATCACGGAACAAATGCTGATAGAATGCCACTATACCATTCCTAGCCTCCTCTTCTGACGAAAGCATCACCCCATTCACCCGCATTCTCCCTATCTGGTTCACCCGCTGATGACCATTAGCCATACAATGAAAAAACTTCGCATTATGGTCCCCATCTTTCAACCACAAGCATCGCGATTTCTGCCGGAAACTAATCTCCTCCATATGAGCTACTCGCGCATAATCTCGCCGAGCCTCATCCCTAACTGCCATATTCTCCTCAGTGAGATCTCCATCCAGTTCCTGTGCATCCAAACCTTGCAAAACTGACAAGATATTTGTCTTTTGAACCTCAAAGCGGCCAAAAACCTCTAAATTCCACCTCTTTAAATCAGACTTAAGAAGTTTCAATTTCTGAGTTAATCAATAGTTGGGCGAACCTACCACATTGTAACTCTCCCACCAACCACCCACTTTCTCAGCAAAACCATCTGCTCGTAACCACATGTTCTCAAACCGAAAAGGCGAAGGACCACTCCGGACTCCCCCACTATCCAACAAAACTGGCTAATGGTCAGAAGTTGGACGATGCAAACGGCACTGTAGCGTCGAAGAGAAATGCTCCTCCCAAGCCCCAAACACCAAGAATCTATCAAGCCGAGAACTAGCTCGGCCACCTGACCAGGTAAAGCCTCCTCCCTGTAATGGCAAATCTACCAGCTCCATCTCATCAATAAAAGAAGCAAAAGCCTGCATAGATCTCCCCACTTGACTTCCCCAGTCCTTTCCACCGGGCTCCGTACAACATTAAAATCTTTGCCAACACACCACGGCAATCCCCATCTGAAAGCAACATGCTGCAACTCATCCCAGAAGGCGGCCCGTTCTGAACCCCGAACTAGACCATAAACCCCAATAAACACCCACTGAAAATCATCCTCAAGGCATCTGAACAAACAAGATAGTGAAAAACCCCCCCACTTTTTCCTCCTCCTTCACCACCACTCTACTATCCCAACACATGAGAATACCTTCAGCCACCCCAATAGCTGGTTGGAACGCCCACTCCACATGCCTCTCACCCCATAACCCCTGCACAAACACCAGCTCAACAACCTCCATTTTAGTCTCCTGAAGACATACCACATCTGCCCTAGCACTCCTTAAAAAGGACTTAACGACCGTTCGTTTATCCAGATAATTTGGACCCCTCACATTCCAAATCAAAATTTTCTAACGCATGGCAATAAAAAGGAACCACCCCACTCCCTTCTAACCCATCGTTCTTCACCTCTCGTAGGTTGATCATAATTTATTGAGCACTCAAGTTTCCGTAACTCCCGAACCCCTTTTTTCGTTGGACCAGCAGATTGTCTCTCTATGCACCTTCCTTCCATGATGTTTCAATTGAGGCAAATAACTTCAAAGCCCCCGCCTCATGCCAGCAAATAAAACTCCCCAAAATTTACTAACGTCGGCAATACAGGTCAACACCCAGTCAGACACTTCATCTGAAGACGGTGGGAGATCAACTAGAAATGCATCTTTTATGTCAATGTCAAGCACTGGATCTGAGTTTGGCAAACCGAGAACCGCATCATCTGTTACAAATGGTCGGACCCCTATGGACATGTCGTCACCGGAGAACCCCCATCTTTCCTTATTTTCCTCCATAAGTCCCTCTCTTCCCACTGACTGTGCCGTTACTGCCACAAGTGGGGCATTCTCGAACTGCCTGTCAAGTGAGTAATGTGTGGCGTTAACCTCTACCGCCGGCTAACCAAGGCGGAGAATCCTTTTCAGCAAGCTGGGCTTCTCTGGCCAGGTCTGCGACACCATTCCGCCCAATGGCCAACTCCCAACATGGCTGGTTGGCAGTGGCAAGCTAACACCCTCACGCAAAGATCCGAAAACCCAGTCTAGAGATGGGTTTGAGCACACCCCAGTCTCCACCCGTGGGCTAGGTACCCTTTTTTCTATAACACCTGGGTCAAAAGGACTAGGGCCCAGCTTACCCCTCACTTGGCCCAATCCTTCCACCAAAGACTTGGTCTGGCCCAAACCCCTACTGTGATCCACCCACCGTTTATTTGGGCCCAAATGTGACTGCCCCACAGCCCAAACCCTTTGCCTAGAATGTTTCAACCTCCCCTGAAACCAAAACCCTACATTCTCTTCCCCAAATCTGCAATCAAACCCACCAGATCCTCCATTCCCAAAATTCCGCCTATCATCACGTCGTCCCTGCCGACTTTCCTTTCCCAACCACAAACCCCCACGATCTTCCCTCGCCGGCGAGATCAGGGCAACCGTAGAACCAACTTCCGGTCACAGAGGAATCACGTATAGCCAATCCTCCCATCGTAGCTAAACCTTAGTCGGTATGATGCCATGACACCGGACTTGCAGTCGGACCACGCCAAGATTTGCCGAAAGCTCATCGTTCTGCACAAAACCACCACAACGGTCACTGATGGCCCTATACGTAGCCAGCCCTCGGAGATGAATTGGAAGGCCCCAACACCCGCACCCACATAGTTGCCTCTAACGCCGTTTTTTTTTTTTTTTTTTTTTTTTTTTTAATAAGTCATAAAATAAAACAAGAAAACTTACAAGAATACAAGGAGAATACCCCAGGCCCTACCAAAGCTATACAAAATATACCAACTAAATCATATCTGCGAAAATATATCTTGCTAGCACAAACAAAACAAGCCTATCAAAGTAGCCACATATCTGTTATCGTTCAGAAGCAAAAATCTAGCTAGCAGACTGGCTGCCTCCATAACCAAGTTCAGAAGCCAATCACTGTTATGTTTTTCCATAGCAGCCACATACACCAATATACAAGAAACCAAAAGCTTGAGAAAATAAAATAAAACCCCAAGCACAACCCGCAACGGAATAGGTAGAAGCCTTAGAACACGAGCATAAAACCAGTTGGATTGGGTTGCCTCTGACGGCGTTAGGTTGCCCTTATCAGACAAAACTGACGGTGACCACCATTGCAGATGAAGGTCACGGCTGTCGACAACCACCGGCGTCATAACACATTTTCAGCGTCTCGACGAGAGGGGAACATAAAGAGAAAGTCTTGGCCCCCTACTAGCCAAATCTCCACCTTGCGTGACGAGCCCCACCCCACCACCGACCAACCCACTCTATCATCACAGAAAACCCCACACCCTTATCCCCCTCCATACACACTAAGCCCACCAAAGCCCTATTCAGTATATCAAACCACCCCTCTTCAGCCATTGCCTGAACTGGTTTATCCATAACAATTAGAGTTTTCGTTGCTATTCTCTTCACCACTGATAACCTCGTCCTAGCGCGAGTCTTCGCAACCCAACTTTCGCCTCTAGCAAAGCCCTCAATAACCAACGCCACACTCTCCCATCCATCCCCAAACTCTGAGACAAGGATAAAAACCTGATGTTGACGACCTACAATGGTGACCACAATCTGAAACGACTGCCTACCAGCCTCCTCATCACGAACCCAGATAGCCACATTTCAACTCTTGCCGTTCAAACGACCCAAGAAGGATTGGGTTCGTTCATCACTCGAGGCCAATCGCAGTTTGGTGAGAACCCAACTCACCTCGAAGCCGACCAAAATAACTTCCTGCCGAAGGCTTGAGCCACGCTCCACAATACCCAACCGCCGATGCCCCTTCTGATCCATTGCTTCCTCCTGGAACTCGAAGGATCGACCACCGAGGAAGAGGATTCGGCGTCGTGGGCCAACCTCCTCTCACTGGAAACATCCCAGGTAAATCTAAAGCATTTGCCAAAAATCGGCTCTATTTTTGGTAATATTACAGAGAGAATTTTTTTTCTCCTTGCTTCAATTACGATCGAGTTTTCTATTGTATAATATTATATGTACATTTTACATGGAGTACTATATTTTTCACAATATCTTCACTTCTTTTTAATAGAATATAGGCTCATTTTGCGTATACTTTTTAAGAAATATTTATTTAAATTAAATTATTATGTAATTTGTCTTTTTCGGTAGGATCTTACGATCCTCGATCCAATTCTACGATCCAACGTCAGATCCCGATTTTATCAACCTTGCTATGAACACATCAAATGGGGCACTCTTTGGGCTTTATATGAACATGTTTAGGGTTAACAAGAGTCTTCATTGTATTTTATATATTAGAATGCAGCTAGAAAAAGTGTTTTTAACTTTTTTTTCTAAGTGGGATTCCTAGAATTTTCTCTCTTCTTCTACCTTTTACAGCTATAACCTTAAAAGCTTTCCATAACCAAAATCCATCACAATTCCTGTTGTAGGAAGTCTTAAGCCCTAGTTTCCTAATCTGTTCGACATCATATGTTCACCTAACAAACCTCCAGGGCCTTCTATTCATATGACCATGAAATAAGATTCAAACTAAAATTTGCAAGGAACACTCAAATTGATAAGCACATGTAAGGTGGTATATCACGCAAAAATGCAAATACCTCTGGGTGCCAGGGAAGAAATTAAAACCATGGGCTTTGTCCAAATGCCATGCCTTACTAGACAGCAATGACATGCAATCCTGTCAAATAATTTGCTGCATTAGAAGCTTAATAAAAAGTCAATAATTCAAGTTCGAGAATTAAAGCAGGACTTGATCTAATTATAGAGCAGTTCTTAGTGAGAAGCACATTAAATCATAAAGGCCAAAAGTACCTCTTTGAAACTTTCCCATCCACAGCTTATATAAATAAGAGTTTGAGGCAGTGATTGACTTTCCTCCTGAGTAGTTTTGCTCTGTATCTGGACCGAAACTTTTTTGGCACGTAGAACCCATGGTCTCTTTTCATCTTTGGCCTTTAACAAAGGGCTGAAATGACACCAAAAAAGTAACAATAATCAGTGCGTATAACATGGAGTGCTCTAATTCATTATACACTGCACGCTTCTGATTTATCGCAGCGATCATCACTATTTCCTATATTTCAATTTGGAAGAACCATAGAAATTCCTACCTTTCAGATGGCTTGAATTTTCTCTCCACTGATGGTATAGTTCGCAATGCATTAAGCAGGGAAGGGTCCAGCCCTTTCCTAGGAGGATCAACCACAACAACATCTGATCCCACCAGCCAAGAAAGAGGGTCCTGAGCAAGTTACAAACGAATCATAAAACAAGTTTCTGAACTATTGCACAGCTGTTTCCAAAACTAAAGCTGTTCAATATCCACTTTGGCAATAGTAATTTCAAGAAGTTGCTACGCAGTATTATTAAAGTATCTGAAAAGGAAATAAATTTGAAGAATAAATCCAAGAAATTTGCTTTTAGTATTCAACTGTAAACACTTAACAAGAAACACAATTAGTAAATTTTGCTCGTAGTTTAAAATTTCAAGAACAAAACTAGAAAATTAACTAATGGTGCGCATATTTTTTCTTTTTCTGAGACCGTACCGATTACACAAGAAACATTGAGATCTCTATGAGCTCAAACTAGAAAATTGACACATATATGACCACATATGTAAAGTGACAAACACTAACAATTGAAGTGTCAGCATTGTGCCAGCTGATACTGCTGTCTACAGAGTTCGGTAAGTGCTCAGCTGTCTTCTCAAATGAGAGCTTTGACTCTTTGTTAATCTCAATGCATTTAACTGCTCTGCAAACAAGAAAAAAATATTCTTTTAGTATAAGAATGAGAACTTGAACTCCAAAGCACTTCACACATCACAGTTCCTGCCTGCATTTTCTTGTGGCAGCTAAAGATAATCCAATGACACCAGCTCCTGCATAGAGATCAGCAACTGATGCACCAAAGTGGACATACTTCTGTAACTTTTGCAGTAAAGAATCAAAAGCCTAAAAAAAAAAAAAAGGAAAAAAGGAAAAAAGAACGTGTTAATTATTAGTATATTACTCCGGGGCAGTAAATTTGAAGCTGTGCCTTCATAATGCGAAAATATATGTTTATGCCTTAGATAAGAGCAACTCCAATTGCAAAATTGTACAACATTAGTGAAGTGCTTTTCAAATAAGGGAGAAGATTGGATTTAATGCCATTTTGATCCCCCAGTTTATTTTCTCATAGTGATTCATCAAGCAAACAAAATACATGCATTTTCCATCAAATAAGAAAGAATAGTTTTCTGGGTTAGAAGCTTTAATTACCCTTGTATTTGCTTGGCCAAAGCTGGATGGAGCCAAAGAAACATCGATTCCTCCAACACGCTCCCAAAAGTCTCTTTCCCCTAAAAGATGCCTCCACCTATTCCCAAATATTATCTGCATTATTCATACAACATTTTAAAGTCCTGAACATCTAGATCACACAGATAAAGTGATAATTTAACAAAGAAAAGAGGAAAGATGACCGTGCAAACTACGTGAAATGTGAATGCCACTTTGTCAGGTCAGTTAAGGATTTTAGTAGCGAACCTGGATATTACACCATTGTAATATGTTCTATTATAAACATACAAAAGAAAAATGAACTTTCATTTTTGCATTACAAATTGCTCTCACAATGCACATCTCATAATATTTCACTTTGCTCCAGCTGGCCACTAATGAGGAAAAAAATATCAATCTATATAGCCCAACCTTTTTTCAAAATTCCCTTCGTGATATGTATATTTATTTATGCATATAAGAAAAACCTTCTAAGAGGGAGAGGTGATGGCATGCAATGTTGGTTACAAAGATCATTACATGATAGGAAGGTTCAGGGGATACAAATTCTTTTGAAACTGTTGTATAAGGAGCTTAGTACAAGGCTCGAGGGAAGATGACATTGGTTGGTACTCCAAATTTGGGAAATTAAAAGTGAAGTCTTATTACAAGTTGGAAGGTGACACGCTTCACTTTCCTTGGAAAGGGATTTGAAAATTTGAAGGGCCTTTCTCAGTTGGTCTTTTTTGCAGGGAGATATCCCAGGTGAAAATTCTTGTAGTAGATAATCTGATCAAAAGCAGAAAAACTATTCCTAATTGGTGTTGCAAGAGCAAAGAGGGTGGGTCTGTCTCTGGATCATCTTCTTATATACTGTTGGATGGACTGAAATATTTGAGCTGTGTATCTGTCCCTTTTTTGGGTGCCTTGAGTGTTCCTAAAGATGGTAGTGGTTATGTTACTTGGTTGGAAAGGAGGCTTTTTACCCAAACAGAGAAAGAAAGCTTTGAATTGAGTTTTTCTTTTGTTTCTATGAAAGTAGAATTATTGTGTTCTTGGTAAGAGCATTTCATAAAAGAGGTTTCAGTTGCTTTCTCAACCACCTCCAAACGATCATCAAAATAACACCATCTTAGCAATGACACCAACATTCTAAAAAATTACAAGCTAATTATATCCACTTTAACAAACAAACGAAGCAGTTCATACTAAACATACTTAGTGTATGGATGCCCACGCCAACAAGTAAACACATGTGCACAGTCACAAAAACCCACACACTTTACACTCACATTGTTACTTGAAGTCTGGAAGTTTGCCCAAACAGAATGAATTAAATGGACTTTCCTGTTTGCCCCACCATATCTCCATAAGAACTACCAACAACAGTTTGAACATCAGTCAATGAATTAAAATAAACTATCATGTCCAAAGAAAATATAAAAATGAGAGAGAGAGAGAGAGAGAGAATGGGCACACATTGGCCAAAGCATTTAACTTTTTCGAGGAAGGGGAGTTCTCATCTCTAGAATTCCAAACCAAGGCAACCTGTACTTTTCCTGAAATTAAACAATAGACTTCACAATCTAAAAGGCCTGGACAGACCAGTTCAAATACAAAGTTTCACATTCTAAATTTAGGTACTCAGGTAGTGACCATTTCTATATCTTTCAGCATAAGGAAGGGATGTGTTGTATGTGGTCACAGCCATCTGCATACAAAATCATCTTCCATTACAAAAGCAACAATTGCAAATCACAACCACTCAACTTTATCTATAATAAAATTCCAGGAAAATTGTATTGCCATTAACGCAATTATTCACCTGAACATAACGCAATTCACCTGTCCCCTGGTCTTCATCATATGGTTCTACTTTTAACTCGGCAATACCTAAAAAAATAAAATTAAATCGAAAACGATCAATAGAAATTTTAGACAGAAATACATCCATTATGATGTGCCCGTGGCATTTTTAAAATCGATTCTAGATTAAAATGAAAGATTTAGGACAAAGAACAAGCCTTGCTTTAGGAGTTCAACAGCAGCATTAATGTTTGGATGGTGAGCTGTACAACCAAGAACACGAACCTTAGAATATAATTCAAAGACAAACCCAACAAATTTCAGTACACAATCACATAAAAACTCGAGTATCGGACCTTTACAATCAGGAATATCAACTACATTATGAGTACCCTCTTGATAGAGCCCAATGAGAGGGTCGGTGTATGAGCCCCGAACTGCGAGTTTTGCGCGGCACCTCCATCCCCACTGTAAAGGGCGAAAATGTTATCAAAACCCTAATTACGAAAAAACCCAATTGAGAAAGTAAACAAGGAGGAGGGCATACGAGTCTACAAGTATCGAAGGTGAAGTCAGATACGCCATGTTTGTTGAAGAAGTCGGTGGCCTCGTCGAGGATGATCGGACGGTGGAGATCGTACTCTTGAGTGCAACCAGAACACCTGCAAAAACAAAGCGATAGTCGTCGTTGTAATGAGATGCCGAGAGAGTCGACAAGTGTAGAGAAAGAGAGAGGGAAGTGGTGGTGCGTACGATTGGAAGTGAGGGCACTGAAGGGCGCAGGTTAAGGAGGGTAAGGCAGTTGGGTTAGGGTTTGGTGGCGGCGGAGCTGGAGGGGCGGCGAGGCAGCTGATGAGAGAGGCCGATGGCCGACCTGAGACTGAGAGGAACGAAAGAGCCATTCCTGTATGGCAGTGGCGGGAATGGATAATCTCGTAGTAGATTACTATCTTTCTTTGTAAACGGGTCGGATCAATCAAAAGAGTCAGGATCCTCGGCCGTCATTTCCTGCGGCCCTTTCTGCAGCGTTAGCCAAAACGAGATCATTTTGATTAGTTTTTTTTGTTTTCTTCAAAATTTGAGACCCCCTCCCCCTTTTCACTTTCTTCTCTTTCTCTATCACTATCATCTGTGTTTAGCCCTAACAAAAGAGAAGAGAGATGCAAGACGAACTGATAGAGACGGAGAGGCGAACTCGACGAAGGAACACGATGGAGAGACAAACGAACTGAGAGAGATGGCAGAGAGACGCGACGACGAAGGACAAAGGATGGCGGAGGGACGCGGCGGCGAAGGACAGAGGATGATTGCGGCGATGCGACGCTTAGTCCGGCGGCGATGCGACAGCGACGAGGCGAGATTGCGGCGATGACCAGGCCCATTTCGTCATCATTGTCATTTGTTACTGTTATTTATATATATATATATATACTAGCGGTTGGGCACACACGATATGTGTGCAAATTAAATAAAGAGGAATAAAAGAAAATAATAATGAAATTAATATTATAATGTGTACTTAGCTTAAGTGGTATGAGCATGGTTATGGGTTCAAGCCTTGTCCATCTCTTTGTTTAACTTTTTTTTTAAAAAATAAAAAAGAAGTTTTTTTTTAAAAAATAAAAAAGAAGACTGCCACATGGCATGAGGAGAGTAAAGCAAGCTTCAGAACACCATATTATGTGTTCACTTTATAATAGTATAGATAGATAGATAGATAGATATGTATGTGTGTGTGTGATTCTTAGGCTAGATTTGTTGTTGATTTTTTAAATGGGTTTGATGATAAATGAAAGAAAATATATACAAAATGGGTTTGATTTTTTGTTAGATTTGTTGTTGTTTTGTATATATATATGATTATTGGGTTAGATTTGTTGATGATAATCTCATTTATTGTTTGATTTCTTGCCATGGTTTGATTCTTGATTTTTAGATTTGTTTGATGATAAATTGATTTATGTTAAATGGGTTTGTGTTGATGATAATCATATATATATATATATGATTATTGGATTAGATTTGTTGATGATAAACTAATTTACTGATTTATTGTTTGATTTCTTACCATGGTTTGATTCTTGGGTTAGATTTGTTTGATGATAAACTGATTTATAATTTTTGCATTTGATTTGTTTGTCAATTATGTTGAACTGGCCTAATCCTCCTTTGAGTTAGCCAATTGTCACTGTTAAATCCAATTCATAATTTTTTTTGAGCTTTCAGTATGTTTTTTCATTCCAAAGTTTTTCTATTGATTATTTTTGGAGGGATGAGGGGGAGTCTAAACTATCATTGGACTCCATAATTCAACCACGACTGTGTATAGATAGATGGTCAAATTTTCTATTACCAGTTCAATTTGTCTTTATGATTTTTTTCTCTCCTGAAAATGGTCTTCAAAGCTTTGCATTTTAGCAAGTGAATGATGAAATGGTCTCCAAAAATATGTTCTGGTTTGGTCAATTTGAAGCAAAAATTTGTTTTGATTTGTAATAGAAAAGCAGAAAAGGATATAAAGCGTTATCAAATGATCAAAACTTTCGAAAACCCTAGATGGAATCATGGTACGTGTAAAATGTTGGTTGCTTTGCAGCATGTTATAAATCTGTTTTCCATTAAAAAAAAATCTGTTTTGCTCTCATAATTTTTTTTTTCCCCTATCAATGAGCATTCATGTGATTTTGCAAACTAGCTTTTATTTTCTGTCCTTAATCTTGTGTAATTTTTTTAAATTTTAGTTTGATGCTCAATATATAACAGTGTGGTAATTGAGGATTGTGTTTCAATAGCTAAGTCCATGGTAATGAGTAATTTAATCTGGACACTAAATTTTTCATGTTTGCTTGGAGGTTAAACTTTGTGGTCACGAAACCTCGGTAGGTTTACACTTTCTATTCACTTTTGCTTTGGTAAATGCCAACAAAATAAAGTTTCCGGCACTCTTTGGAGAAAGGAAAATGTGAATAAATTCTACTCTTTTTTTTTTCCCCTCTCTTAGTTCTTATGGGGTTATTTGATTTTTTTTATGTTATGAGACCTGAAATAATAATGCAAAAGTAAGTTGAGTATGGTTTTTTTTTTTTTTTTTGAGTTTTGCTTGATGAAGAAAGGTTTGGTTATGTTGTTCCATGTCTCAACTCAGATTGAGTTGAAATAGTATGATGCTTTTTTGGGTCATGTATTGAAGAGAGTTTGTGCAGTAAAAAATATTTTATCAATTATTAAAGTTACAGTTAATTGATTTAGGCCTCGTTTGGGAACAGGCTAATTTAGTAACTTTTTGGCTATTTAGCTAAAATATGAGCTAAAAAAAACTAGTATGTTTGGAATGACTTTTTGGCTTTTTACGAAAAGATGTGCAAAAAGTAGAGAGAAAAGAAAATCTTTGACTTTTTGGTATGGGTTGTTGGCTTTTTGGCTAATTTAGTAACTTTTTGACTAAAATGGAGGGTTCCCAAACGAGGCCTTATTATAGAAATGGATCAACTGTTCGATAAGTTGAAGTTTTCATATGATTTGATTATATGATTATTGATATTTAATACACAAATAACCTATTATTAGACACAAAGAATGTAGCCTGTCTATCGTCTTAGCAAGAACTCTTCCAAATTATAAACAGTCCTATACAAATACTTCATTTTCTATGAAACAGTCCTCGCTCTCATTGTGAACATAATATAGAAAATAAATCTCTAATTTTATTCTATTATAAAGAATAAGAATTACAGATGGTGCAGGCCTCACTCCCAAATCGTCACATTTCTTGCATCAGGATCACAAATCATCACTCAACTCAACTTAATTAAATAAAAGGTAAATTATACTTCCAATCCATGCATTCTACCTCCAATCAATCTCACGTTGATTCTGTGATTCAATTTCAACAATCAAAACATTGCAAGTTGAAGCATTTTGTTAACCTTCTGTTTGGATAATTTTTCTTCATGATGTATTGGACGAATAACAAATAACTCACCAAATGTTTACAAACAAGTATAGAACACTTAGCTAATACACCAAGTAGCTCTCTTCATTCTACAAAGCGTTGAATCAATGTCAACTAAAACAAATTATAAAGCAATAATGTTACAACAACAAATGAAGTATTTATCTTGTTAGATCATCAAAACGGAATTAGACAAGCCAGCAGCACCGTCAAACAATTCTACAAAATGCTTTTGCCTTGAGACAATAGCAAGTATGATCGCATTGTTGGTGGAACAGAAGTTGCTGCTCAATTATCTTTCCCCTTGCCACTCCCTTCGGAAACTTTAGAGGTGTCATAAGCAGAAAGGAAAAACGTGCCCTAATTCCCTGCAGAAACCTGCATAATCGCAAAGAGCTTTGTTAAGCATTATGAAATATTTAAATGAAACTACCCACTTCCATATGTACATTATGAATATAAGTTTTCCTTTAAATGCATTACTGTCAAACTCACCAATTTGTAGACTAAAGAAAATAGAAATGACTTCTTCTTTTCTTTTTTTGAGATGACAAACACAAACAATTTTGTTAAATGGCCTTGGAATGAAATCATCTGTTTGTGTTTGTCATCTTAAAACAAGAAAAAAAAAATCAAGTTAAAATAGGAATGAGTGTTTCTTTCTCTTACAAATTAAAATCATTTCATGATGTAACAGATAAGGAAAACAATTCAAGCCCATTTAACCCAATAACATCTTCAATTTTCAGTTCATTAAGCACAGTAGTTCACATCTTCAAGCAGTCAACCCAAAAACAATGAATATTTACAAGTGGCTATTACTAGGAAAAGGCAAGAACTTGTGGTATTGGTTCATTCTGTAAACATGAAATAGATAAAGGGGTTTGATTAAAAAGCTGTAAACAAAGAAACACAACTGTGCAAGGCAGAATGCCTACTTATGATCAATTTGAGCAATACTAATGTTGTGTTTGGATCTTGGATTTTTAGATGGAAAAGAAAATCAAGTCAAAGAAGCTAAATTCTCCCTATTTTCTAGTTGGGTGAGGAAAATGAGTATATATTAGACTTACTAATAAAAATCATACTTTTTTTTTTTGGTTTAATTACTCATAAAAAATAAATGTTCAAGCAATTCCATTTCCCATTTATTTTCTTCTCCTTGACAAATCCAAGATCCAAACATAGCTTAAATGAATAGTTTTACTAATCATCTTCCTATGAACATAGAATGAGACTGAAAATCATACTTTAGCTATCCAACTTCAATTCCATAGCTCTCTTTTCAGATCAAGTTCACTTTAAAACCTATGAATTGCATTGTAAATGACAAATTTGTATACAATGCTCTCATACTGAAGTTTCTTCTGGATGCAGCAAAGTCACTTTGCCTAATATATAATGTTTAATGCATTCTTTTAGATTAAAGAAACAAGATAATTCATGGCAACAAACAACAGCATCATCAACAATAGAAAAAAACAGAGCAACAAAATTATTATTATTATTATTAATATCCAGAACTCAGAACATTAAATTTTCTTAAGAGCATTCAGTATAATGTGAACGATAGAGTATATACTTGAGAAAGTCAAGTAATTTCTGCTGCAAGCGGATCAACGTCTCATCTTCAATGTTTACATATGCCATCAACTCAGGCAACTTAACTGCAAACACCAGTAAAATACAAAACCATGGAGACATTTGAGAAGCAAAAATCTGAGAGGGAAAAAAAGAGTTTTCTGACTTCAAAACAAAACCAAGCAATTCAACTCCAGTCGCCTCACCACCGCCTCTCCTCGCCTTGCCTCCGTTGCCTCTTCATCGCCTTGCCTCCGTGGCCTCTCTGTTCGTTTGTCTCAGAGGCTAGGGTTCAAAAATGAAAAGGGGAAAACAGAATAAGAAAGGAAAAAAAAAAAATTCCAAAATGACGTCGTTTTGGAGGGCAGCAGGGACGGCTGCAAGGAAGTACGACCGAAGATCCGGACTTCAATCAAAATATCCGCGTAGTGTGCCCTTTTAATTAGAGCATCTCTAATGGTTGTTGCTATGCTATTGCTATAATTTGGTAATAAATAGTGCTATTTTGTCAAATTATAACAATAGTACTCTAATGATCATTTGTTATTTTGACAAATTTCAATCAATTTTTTCTCTAACTTTGTAAGTGTTGTTTGGATATAGGTTTTTTAGTATTTTTTGGGTTTATTTTTTGTTTTTTATGACATTTTTTAATTGTTTTTAAAAAAAATTATATATTTACATTATTCCTGACTAGACAAATATTTAAATTGAAAAAAAAAAAAATGTAATTCACCTCACCGAAAAACATACTAATATAAAATTACTAAAAAATAGTCAATATTATACATTGCAAAATACTCAAAAATAATTGTTTGTATTATTTTTATTTTTATTTTTTTGGTTTCAGGCAAAAGAGCACGAGCACAA